TATTTATTTTAATTTTTATTTAATTTTAAATTTCTTAATGCCTTTGGTGGTTTTCGTTCGTTAGTTCATGACATTTCAAGCGTGAATGTCACCACTGTCAGGCAACCAGGTTCAAAGGGATGCCGGTTCATGTCTTTTTGGTCGTCGACGAGTCGACTCTGGCCTTTTTTGGGGGGGGGCGAATTGAAAAAGCAGTAGGTTCAACTCTTTTCTTGGGGTCGAAGGCAAGCGGGTCGTTCGATTTGGTTGTCGACGAATCGACTTTGGTTTTTTTTGGGGGGGGGTCGAAAGGCAAGCAGGTCGTTCGATTTGGTCGTCGACGAGTCGACTCTGGGCTTTTTTGGGGGGGGGTCGAAATCGAGATCGAGAAAAGGGGTCTCATTTCCTCGGTGACTGAAGCCTGAATCAACGACTGAAGCCTGAACTTGGCTTGGCTTTGGGCAATTGGTCGGTTCATCAGGTTCGTCGGGCTTGTGATGGGCGGCGACCACATTTCCTTTTCGGGTGGAGGGTTGAATGTTTTTTGGGGGGCTGTCGGGTGTTTTAGTTTTTTCAAGTCGAGGGTCGTGGAAAGAGCCCCCTACTGAATCTCACTTCTGTGCCTTCTGAGCTGAATGGTTTTCCCCCGATGCAGCCAAAATGAGGATGCGTTCCACGATTCAAGGCTGGGTTGAGGTTGTGAGGTGACCAAGTTGAGGGTCGTGGAACGGAGCCCCTACTGAATCCCACTTTTGTGCCTTGATGTCTACTATTTAGATGTTTCTGTAGATAAGTCAACAGGGTAGAGTGATCACCCAATGCGTGTATAAAAAAGTTAGTATGGGTGGGCAAAAAAGACTGTACAAACCACAAAAAACTCTTGAAAATGCAATATAAAGTCAGGAGTCCACAATGTGTAAGGTGTGATAAACAAGGCCCAGTGCATCTCGCCTGCTTTCTGAGAGGACATATCCCTTCGCCACTTGTCCTTGGAACTCAAAACTTCGGCCCCTCTACAACCCCTCAGCCCTGGCTGCGCCCCCGCGCTACGCGCGGTTAAAAAAAAAAAAAAAAAAACCCTGTAACTGGGTTCTTCCGCGGGCGGAAGCCTGTAAGCTAAGCTGGCTGATGCTGTCAGTACTCCGGGTTGAGTTGTGAGGTCCCCGACAAGAGTTCAGGCATGGCGAGGCCCTTAGTGTAGTGCAGCGCTTCCGCTGAGCGGTACCGCCTCGTGGCCGTCCTTCGTGCGTCCAACCCAACTTCGGTGGGGTCTTTTCTGCGGGACAGGCCACGGTCCTCTTCCAGCAAAAGAAAGGAGGCGGGTAGCTCTTCGGAAACGAAAATTTGCCGTTGTGCGTGCGGAACGCGAATCAGATGAGCGGGAACCCAAGCCCGAAACGGGGACATCTGTTCGCAGTGCTTTTCGAAAGCTGAGCAGATTTTTGGGCTACGCAGCCATAGCGCGGCAGGATGCTGTCCGACACTTTCGGATCTCCTTGACGGGTTGCAGTTGCAGCAGTCTTGTTCGGCACTAGTGGTAGTCTGTCTCCACCCCCAGTGACAGCAGCGGTGAATGTTTCTTGGGCGGATGATGGGGTTGGTCACGCAGTCGCCCGCTCTTTGGCGGCTGGGCGAAGGGGGAGGAAAGGGAGCCGATCGGGTGGAAGGAGGTGGGGCTGCGGAGAAAGAGGCAAAGGAGGGGATGATCTGTGTTGAATGTGGGAGCGAGGTCCAGAATGTGTATCATGAATACTCCAGGGGAAACATTCGGCTCACACGCTGTGTAAGTTCTGGGTTGCTTTTTTCTCTCTCTCTCTCTCTTTCTCTCTCTCTCTCTCTCTATCTGTGTGACAAATACACAACTATTCACCAGTCACGACAGCGGGAGAGAAAAGTCCTAGTAGGTCTGATCTCTCTCTCTCTCTCTCTCTCTCTCTCTCTCTCTCTCTCTCTCTCTCTCTCTCTCTCTTTTTGTGCGTTGAGAAAGAAAGAGGGGCCTTGAGATGCCGCTCAGCAGCGCTACCAGATGGCTCTTTTCTCCACTGAGCTGTCTCCCCGTTCCTGCCGTCCTAGCTATCGGTTTGCTTGGAATTTGTTGTGCTTTTTTTATTTTCTGTGTATAAAGCAATGGGTGGCCCCGACATGAGTTTGAGGGTTGAACTCTTTATTTGTTCGTCAACAGTTGTAGGCGTGTTCTATTCAGCCACGTGGGAGGTTCGGGAACTACCATCATGCGTCGGTATTGCTAAGTCAATCGCTATGGAGCAAGGGGGAAGTTATCCGCGTCCTGCGACAACGCATATTTTCACCTTCTGCCTTCAATTCTCCCTGACTGTCTGTTCTGTGTCTCGGTCTGTTCGTCCGTCTGTTGTTGGTTAATTCCGTTCAACAAGTACTGATATGTCCCTTGGCACATCCGTTGGAATTGGAAAGATACAGAGAAAGAAGATGGAAGATGGTGCATCCCGTGAAAACAGGAACGATACAGAGAAGATTACCATCGCCCCTGCCCAAGGATGACACGCATAAATCGAGAAATGGTCCAATATATTTAATTGTCCTTCGGGACATCTGTTAAAATTGGAACGATGCAGAGAAAGAAGATTAGCATGGCCTCTGCGCAATCACGGATGACACGCATAA